CCCTAGCCTCTCGTTTGACAAGCACCTCCCCACTTCCCTGCTTTCCATATCTATCCTCTCTTCCATTCTCTGTTAAGTTCTTCTAGTTTCTTTCCCCCATTCATGGATCCCCTTTTTAGGAGCTCTGCTGCCCAATACATCCTGTGCATTTTTCCCTCCTGTCCCTTGGTTTTTCTTGTTACTCTCTTGGCAACCCCTATTTGTTTGATCCTGATTGCGCTCGGAGAGTGGAAACCTATGTAGTTCTGTATGATAGTTAGTATGTGAGTGTCAGAGTGTGGGGGTGGAAGTATGGGAGGAACCTGTGAGCTATTTGGGAGCTGCGTGGGGAGGGGTGGTGGAGGGTTTTGGGGGTGAATCGGGGAGGGAGGTGATCGCGAGGGAGGTGGATGGATCAGGATGTAGTGAGAAGTCGGTGGTGAGGGGGGGAGTGTGTGAGTGTCTGTGGATATGGTGTGTGTGGTGGTGTTGTGTGTGTGTGGTGTGTGGTGTGTGTGTGTGTGTGGTGTGATGTTTTGTGTGTGTGGGGGTGGGGGAGTGTGTGAAATTTTGTGTGTTAATTGTGTGGAATTATGTGTTGTTTATTATGTACTGTAAGGTAGGTGGCTGTTCTTGGAGTGTAATGTAATCTCAGTTGTCCGCTTGTTCCAGCAAACCTCTTCAGAACCTGACTCCCACCCTGCCGTGTTGCCTATATCGATCCACCGCTTATAGTGATTTAATCGCCTTGTTTCAATGGATACCATTTGCTAAACCTTATTGAATATTTGAGTGCCTATTCTTTATCGTGCTATGAGAGTTAGACCATTCACATCAGCTTTTGGCGGTTAAATTGGAACCTGGACCCCACATCCCAAACAACCACTCATAAGGTGAAACAGTACATGTAGTGCAGTTTTGTAGCAGTGTAGGTTGGTCCAGGTCGAATGTGACGTCCTGGAGTAAGATCCAGCACGATGTATGTCCTGGCGTAATCCACCTCAATTTCTTCTCGTATTAATGTACCCTATTCACTGAATTTCTTTCACTGGTCACACTATATGTTTCACTTTATTAAAATCTTGGGTGACACTTGCAACGGACGTCCGCCTTCACACAAGCCTGCGCCACAACGCTTTTAGGTTTCAATCACTTTCAAATTGTGGGCTCTCCCCACACTTGTGGTGCTCCAGGCAATTAAAAAAAAAACAATGTCTAGTATTTCTGACAACCCTGACACCACTTAGGCAAACCCTTGCAGAACAACTTGTAGCCCTCCATAAACACTAAATCCCCGAGCACCGAACTGGCGTGACTAGCACCGACGGTGTGTGTGTGTGTGTGTGTGTGTGTGTGTGCGAGTTTGTGTTGTAGTGTGTGTGTGTCCTTAGTGTGTTGTGTGTGTGTGGGTGTGTGTGTGTGTTGTGTGTGTGAGTGTGGTGTGAGTATGCATTTTTTAAGCATTGCTTTGTTTGTGTTCTCGTAGAGGCCAAAACAGATATACACAGTTGGAAATCCTCCCGACCACGATTAAAGATAATCATATTTTTTCCCCCTACACACCGACCACAACATATTATAAAATAATATATATATTATATATATATATATATAATATATAATATTATATATATACAATTATATATAATGCAAGGAATTCGCAGGAGGCAGGCGAAATATACACAAACACAGATCTTGCTGAAGGAGACTCCGAACCTACGAAACCTGGAACAAGGGTACGGCAGGTTTCGAGTCAAGAGAACATGTTTGTGTATATTTCGCTTGCTCCATGCGAATTCCTTGCATTGTTAATGTCCCTGGTAAGGCTGGATGCATCAGGGGATGAGAATTAAAATCTGTTAGCCTTCTCCCTGAAAGCTGTCTGCCTTAGGATCAAAGTCTAGCGCAAGCTTGACTCACCAAGTAATGGTCCAGTGTGGTAGGATTGGTAAGGCACTGCGTACCTCGTTCCAAGGTTCGTAGGGTTCGAGTTTTACCCTTCAGCCACAGATCAGTTTTTATATATATATATATAAATATATATATATAAATATATATCTAAATATATTTATATATATTAAACAAAACTGATCTCTGGCTTGAGATCAGTGTTGTGTATAAGTTTCGCCTGCTCTTCGAATTCCTTGCATATATCTATATATAATATATATATATAATATATAAAATGGAAACTTTAAATTATATATAAATATAGTATAGTAATTATATATAATTTATATATATATATATATATATATATATAATATATTATATGTTGTGAGGGTTCGTGAGATTTGATGGTGGATGTTTAAACACAGTCGTTGGATGTTAACACATATATTCCATAGTATAAGAGGAGAGCCCAAAACAGCTAACTCTATCACTTGCTAGTGCCTATGGAAACTGAGAGAGAGGGCGAGCGCGCAACGGCTCACGAGCGTCATCACGTACTGTCACGACAACCTTGTCCCTGGGCCTAGCAAGGGGTCATGTATTCAAACATATGATTGGTACTATGACTCTCTTGAAAAGCATAAAACACAAGGTAGGGGATCAGCAACTATGCTGACATATATATATATATAAATATATAGTATATAAATGAATATATTATATAATATATATTATATAAATATATAGTTGAAAAGAGGGGGTAAAGGAGGTTTGTGGAGTGAGGGCTTGACTTCCACAAGCGTGCATGATGCGTGTTAGATAGAGTGAATGGAGACAATGATACTTGGTACGCTGGAGCGATCTGTTGGAGTGTGAGCTAGAGGTAATATTTAGTGAAGGGATTCAGGGAAACCGGTTATTTTCATATATGCTGACTTGATCTGGAAATGGGAAGTCACAATGCCTGCACTTTAAGGAGGTTGGGATATTGGCAAGTTTTGGAGATATTATGAGTATCTCTATACGTATATGCTTCTAAACATTTGTATCTGAGCACCTCTGCAAAAGCATGATATGTGTTGATGTGGGTGAAGTGTTGAATGAAGAAGAAAGTAATTTCTATTTTGTGGATTTTCTTCTTTTTTTTTGGGTCACCCCTCCACGGTGGGAGACGACCCGACTTGTTATTAAAAAAAAATATTATAAATAAATTAGGAAAATATATATATAGAAGAATATATATTATAAATAAATATATATATAAATATATATAGTATATATATATATATAAATATTATATAATATATATTATAAAATATTAATAGGGAGTACCAAACCTCTAAACATGTCCTTATGGACTCTCATCCTCAAGATAAAAGAACTAAAACTTGCTTCAGGAAACCTCAAGGTTCTCCCTGAGACTGTTTATAGAGAATTTTCTCCTACCACCCCCTATATTTAATATATATTTTAATTAAAGACAAATACATTGACAAAACATTCACAAAGATGATAATAGAAATAAACCAACAAAGGTAACTCAGAGCCTACAAACTCGAATACTTCGGTCCACTCCTCGGCGTGCGCACGTGTTCCAGAATGCTCAGACATTGTCTCTCCTGATCGCAACACTGATTCCTCTAATAGAGAAGCTGATCGTCCTGTGGAGTCCTTGGTTCTATGATGACATTTCACCGTGCATCTCTGATGAACTTAAGAGCACACTCCCCAATTCTTCAAGGTCATCACCACCCATAGGGATGAAGTTAAGCCAAGGGGAAGGTCATCATATTTGCGATCTTCTGGGTCTCCCTGTATCTGGCACTCCACCCACTCCACAATGGAGATGGCAAGAAGGGTTTTCCCAATGTGGCGGCACAGTGTAGTCCAGCAATCGCTTTCATCCTTTCAAGGAAAGAATAGTGCTCCAGACAGGACGCTTTGACTTCCGTCAGACCTCTCACTTGGAATTCCCATTGAGATGGCAACGGGCTGTGGCAGCTTCTCTTTATGATGTCATTGACCTCCTCATGTCCCTGGCATACTTCCCCTTCTGCTGTGTGACACACGAGATACCATGAAGTCTGAATTGATCATCTGGCGCCCTGCCGGCAAAATATACCTATTTCGGTGAGATGGCGGCGGGCTAGGGCGAAGAGCAAAAACCGAATCCGAATGGCCTTGGGTCTAGTCGATGCCCAAGAAGAATTGGAACATCTAACATGAAATCTCCTTGATTGTGGTGCCTTCACTGCCAGGGAAACGAGCTTTGTCCTTTCCTGAGGCGTTGGAGAACATTGTGTTGGCGATTTTTTCCATGATCGGTTTGTCCCAGTGGGACTGTTTGTGTTCTTTGGGAGGGGCTGGTCTACTGGAGGAATCTGTAAGGGTGTCCCACCGAATCGCTGCTTCAGTAACCCTGGGGTCTTGAGCTCCTACCACGTCTCTCAAGCGTTCGGGAACAATCTTCTTGACTAATGCACTGGAAGCCAAACACAAAGACAGAAAAGCAGGTAAAGCAACATGCATTGCTTTGCGCACCCCTATACCTCCCAGTCACACTGGGTATAATATTACCCCTCTTTAATTTCTTATGTCCTCTGGTAAAGATTATCGGAAAGTTTAAGTTCTCCCACAAATAAAATATGAAGATTTTATTCGCTTTCTCAACCATCATAGCAAGTCTGTATCGTGTTTAGTGTAGAGAAAGACTGTCCTCGCTAAATGATGAAAGATAATGTATGGTCAGCCTTTATTCATCAGTCCTGCACAGAACACTTACATGAAACATAATGTTTATCTAAATATATGCTACACACACACAAAACACACCCCACACACAAAACACACACACACACACACACACACAAAACACACACACACACACAATATATATATTATATATATATATATAATATATAATAAATAATTAAATATATATATATATATATATTGAACTTAATCTCTGTGCTAGTAATTAGAATAATATTGATACGTGTTCAGAAGTATTACGGATTTAGTGACCTTCTCACAGGATTTACTGACCGTCGCCCTCATCTTACATCTGATCTGGACAAGTTAGTCTCTTTCGTTGGTGTTGCGTTTCAATAACGTAATCAATCTAATAAATTGAAACTGCTTAGGGTGGTGGAGTGGTCGAGTCACGAGCCGGAGCCTGGAGTGTTCGACTTCGCTGGTAATCATGACCTGGAGGGCTTCATTAAGACAGCCCAGGAGCAAGACCTTCTTGTTATCCTTCGAGTTGGACCCTTTATCTGCGCCGAAAGGGACATGGTAAGGACTTAGTCAGCACCAGATTATTAATATGGGGAAGACAGCTGGTTCATGTATGTGTGGGGACAGGGAGAAGATAAGGTTTCTGAGTCTGGATCTGTTATTATCCTTTAGGCCACCGTCTATCCTTAATGAAAGTGGCTGTGATCAGTGCAAGAATAGCCAGTGAAGCTAGTTTAAGCCTAGATTTAAGGTTGTTTATGAGTCAGGTGGACACTAGGTTTTCTGTTGGAGTTTTGGAGTTGGGTCGCATCCTGGGACACTGACCTAATTTGCCCGACATGCGGAGCATAACAAGGGACTTTCTATATAGTAGTATGTCATTGTTGTCAGCTAGGCCTGTATACCATGTACATGTATTATTATTATTATTATTATTATTATTATTATTATTATTATTATTATTATTATTATTATTATTATTATTATTATTATTATTATTATTATTATTATTAGTATTATAGATGCACGCTGCATCATCTACTGTCCAGCAGTTACTAGCAACGCCGCTTGACTATTGTGCTTGACTAGTTGTGCTTGACTATTGGTGTGGGGCCTTTTAAATTCACTTTGATTAAGTGGATTGCCTCCAAGTATAATTCACTCTGATGAAAGTTAATTATATCTTGTCGTAAAGGGGCTTACATATAGCTGGGCCAAAATCGACTATATCCTTCTACAGTCCTGGTCTGGACATATCCTCCATATCACCGTTGACCTAGCAATTAAATGTGTAGCTCCTCTAGTGTATTAATAGCACTAAAGTGTTGAAGAGAGCTTGAACTATATTTGAAGGACTTTTAAAACATAATTGCGCTGGCATTCACTGGTGTTCAGTATATCTTGGATCAACTAATGACAGAAAGAGTAAATATGTGGTTTGTCACTAGGCTCATTTCGTTATGGGTGATGTACTTCCTAGGTTACCTCCCAGGTTTCCCCCATTATACTTACACCTAACAAGGCCTTACAGGTTATAGACAAAAGGGACTATAGAGGAATACTTTCCTAGGTGTAAAACATTGTAGCTATCATTGTTTCTCCAATATGGCGTCTTAAGCAGTCATAATGGATACTTCTGGCTCCTCAAATTTAAGATTTCCAGTGTTAGTTTAATAGTTTAATATCTTTATTATGCATCCCATACCCATCCTGTGGGCGGTAGTCAAAAGATTACAGAGGTACATAATGGGTCCAGTGACTGGACCCCAAAGTTATGATAGCTGAACTAGTTACAAAGGTAATGAACTCCAGGTAGATCTGGTCAAAATCATGGCAAGTTACAGAGGTAATGAATCAGCCTCACTCCTATACATACCTGGAGTTTACCTGGAGAGAGTTCCGAGGGTCAACGCCCCCGCGGCCCGGTCTGTGACCAGGCCTCCTGGTGGATCAGAGCTTGATCAACCAGGCTGTTGCTGCTGGCTGCACGCAAACCAACGTACGAGCTGCTCAGGAACCGACTTTAGGTGCTTGTCCAGTGCCAGCTTGAAGACTGCCAGGGGTCTGTTGGTAATCCCCCTTATGTATGCCTGGAGGCAGTTGAACAGTCTCGGGCCCCTGACACTTATTGTATGCTCTCTTAACGTTCTAGTGACACCCTTGCTTTTCATTGGGGGGATGTTGCATCGTCTGCCAAGTCTTTTGCTTTCGTAGTGAGTGATTTTCGTGTGCAAGTTCGGTACTAGTCCCTCTAGGATTTTCCAGGTGTATATAATCATGTATCTCTCCCGCCTGCGTTCCAGGGAATACAGTTTTAGAACCTCAAGCGCTCCCAGTAATTGAGGTGTTTTATCTCCGTTATGCGCGCCGTGAAGGTTCTCTGTACATTTCTAGGTCGGCAATTTTCACGGGCCTTGAAAGGTGCTGTCATTGTGCAGCAATTTTCCAGCCTAGATAGAACAAGTGACCTAAAGAGTTCATCATGAGCTTGGCCTCCCTAGTTTTGAAGGTTCTCATTATCCATCCTGTCATTTTTCTAGCAGATGCGATTGATACAATGTTATGGTCCTTGAAGGTGAGATCCTCCGACATGATCACTCCCAGGTCTTTGACGTTGGTGTTTCGCTCTATTTTGTGGCCAGAATTTGTTTTGTACTCTGATGAAGATTTAATTTCCTCGTGTTTACCATATCTGAGTAATTGAAATTTCTCATCGTTGAACTTCATATTGTTTTCTGCAGCCCACTGAAAGATTTGGTTGATGTCCGCCTAATAATAATAATTATTCGAGGAATCTGAAGTCAATATATTTTTTACAGAGTAAATGTTATAACATTTCTTGTACGGTAATATTTTATTAGTTTTCCTATCCATTATTCTAATAGTATTGTCGTTGTCAATATTTACAGCGAAAATAATATATTTAAAATTTTCCTGTATATTGTACCTACTTATTATGGTGTGTATTATCTATATATTTATTAAGGGTGGTCTTCCGTACTGGTTACTGCGACTTCATCCAAACATCCGTCTACGAACTTCAGATCCTAGTAAGTATTCTTTCATTAGTCCTTTACTCACCTCTTATAAACATTATTACTGATGCCATGTATTCTTTATAGAGACTTACTTCCCTGAAGAAAAGGGTATTTATGAATATTTATCATTATTGTTTAATTATTACATACAAGTTTTCTGTTCTGATGAAGGTTACTTGACGCACGTGGACGCTTGGTTGAGCCAGGTGCTGCTGCCCAAGATTAAGCCGCTTCTCTATGAGAACGGTGGTCCAGTTATCATGGTACAGGTGAGGATAATTATCACAGGTGTTGACTTCAGATATTTGAACCTAGAAGGTAGCAACTATGATAGTCTACAAGCCACTATGTTTCATGGTGAACTATCCATCCTCTCTTGTACTGTTAATGTTAAACGTGTCTTCTACATGACTAAGACCCGTGTTATACTTGCTGAACAATATTATAACAACATAACCGGTCTCTGAACCGAGTGTTTTTCTCTGGAGTAAAATAACAAAAAGGCAAATAACTGCCGATAAGTCGAGGCAGCTGGTCACAACTGTGTTCACTAACGACGTTTCGGTCCTCGAACCCATGAACATGAATTAGCTAAATTCTATAGAGACAATAGTTGACGGTACATACCCACTATAGTCCACATACCTTTACTTAATTTACAATGCCATTAGACTTTGTTTAGTTATTATTGCAGTCTAGTCTAGTTTTTTTGATATTCTTCACATACTTTATTTTGTCTGTCAATATATAACCCTTGTTATCGTTATATTTTTTCTGCAATATTTCATTGTTATATATTTTTACTTTTCATTCTGTAGTTCCTCTTTTATACTTTACAATAGTTTATATTCCTTCATATTTAAAACAATATCCCTTAAAAAATATTATTTTTTTCTCTACTCACAGATTATTGATTTTTAGTCTCACTTTTTGAATTTTATAACGATTTTAATTGCCTAATTAACTAATTGTATTTTAAATTAATAGCTATTAAATATCTATATTCTCTAAAACTGTAACTGGAGAGAGTTCCCCCAGCCCGGTCTGTGACCAGGCCTCCTGGTGGATCAGAGCCTGATCAACCAGGCTGTTACTGCTGGCTGCACGCAAACCAACGTACGAGCCACAGCCCGGCTGATCAGGAAGCTACAACTTATGTCTAAAATTGTTTTTATTATTAAATTTAAATTTTATGCTTTGTCACTATTCCCTACAACAATTATAATTACTTTGAATAATTGTCTTTCACTGATATTCGTACTAAAGTATATAAAAAAAATTCTTTTATTGCTCTTGGTGCATTTTCCTATTTTTCTGCATCAATAAAAATCTTTGAAAGGGTTATAAGAAGCAGCATCACCACCCACCTTGATACCCATCAGTTATATAACCCAGGGTAACACGGGTCTGGAGCAGGTCGATCCTGCCCCATCAGTTATATAACCCAGGGTAACACGGGTCTGGAGCAGGTCGATCCTGCCCCATCAGTTATATAACCCAGGGTAACACGGGTCTGGAGCAGGTCGATCCTGCCCCATCAGTTATAAAAACCCCGGTAAACACGGTCTGGAGCAGGTCGATCCTGCCCCATCAGTTATATAACCCAGGGTAACACGGGTCTGGAGCAGGTCGATCCTGCCCCATCAGTTATATAACCCAGGGTAACACGGGTCTGGAGCAGGTCGATCCTGCCCCATCATTATATATCCCAGGGTAACACGGTCTGGAGCAGGTCGATCCTGCCCCATCAGTTATATAACCCCGGTAACACGGTCTGGGGCAGGGCGATCCTGCCCACATTTAATAACCCAGGGGAACACGGGTCTGGAGCAGGTCGATCCTGCCCCATCAGTTATATAACCCAGGGTAACCACGGGTCTGGGGCAGGGCGATCCTGCCCCATCATTTATATATCCCAGGGTAACACGGGTCTGGAGCAGGTCGATCCTGCCCCATCAGTTATATAAACCCAGGTAACACGGTCTGAGCAGGTCGATCCTGCCCCATCAGTTATATAACCCCGCGTAACGCGGTCTGGAGCAGGTCGATCCTGCCCCATCAGTTATAAAAACCCAGGGTAAACACGGGTCTGGAGCGGTCGATCCTGCCCATCATTATATAACCCAGGGTAACACGGTCTGGAGCAGGTCGATCCCGCCCCATCATTATTATCCCCAAGGTAAAAACGGGTCTGGAGCAGGTCGATCCCCGCCCCATCAGTTATATAACCCAGGGTAACACGGGTCTGAGCAGGGCGATCCTGCCCATCGTTATATAACCCAGCGTAAAAAGCGGGGCTGGGGGCAGGTCGATCCTGCCCCATCAGTTATATAACCCAGGGTAACACGGGTCTGGAGCAGGTCGATCCTCCCCACAGTTATATAAACCCAGGGTAACACGGGTCTGGAGCAGGTCATCCTGCCCCATCAGTTTATAACCCAGGGTAACACGGGTCTGAAGCAGGTCGATCCTGCCCCCTCAGTTATATAACCCAGGGTAACGCGGGTCTGGAGCAGGTCGATCCTGCCCCCTCAGTTATATAACCCAGCGTAACGCGGGTCTGGAGCAGGTCGATCCTGCCCCATCAGTTATATAACCCAGGGAACACGGGTCTGGAGCAGGTCGATCCTGCCCCATCAGTATATAACCCAGGGTAACACGGGTCTGGAGCAGGTCGATCCTGCCCCACAGTTAATAACCCAGGGTAACACGGGGCGGAGCAGGGCGATCCTGCCCCATCAGTTATATAACCCAGGGTAACACGGGTCTGGAGCAGGTCGATCCTGCCCCATCAGTTTTATAACCCAGGGTAAAAACGGGTCTGGAGCAGGTCTAAACCGCCCCATCAGTTATATAACCCCGGGTAACACGGGTCTGGAGCAGGTCGATCCTGCCCCATCAGTTATATAACCCAGGGTAACACGGGTCTGGAGCAGGTCGATCCTGCCCCATCAGTTATATAACCCAGGGTAACACGGGTCTGGAGCAGGTCGATCCTGCCCCATCAGTTATATAACCCAGGGTAACACGGGTCTGGAGCAGGTCGATCCTGCCCCATCAGTTATATAACCCAGGGTAACACGGGTCTGGAGCAGGGCGATCCGCCCATCATTATATAACCCAGGGTAACACGGTCCGGAGCAGGTCGATCCTGCCCCATCATTATATAACCCCGGGTAACACGGGTCTGGAGCAGGTCGACCTGCCCCATCAGTTATATAAACCCCGGGGAACGCGGTCTGGAGCAGGTCGATCCTGCCCCATCAGTTATATAACCCAGGGTAACCCCGGGTCTGGAGCAGGGCGATCCTGCCCCATCAGTTATATAACCCAGGGTAACACGGGTCTGGAGCAGGTCGATCCTGCCCCATCAGTTATATAACCCAGGGTAACGCGGGTCTGGAGCAGGTCGATCCTGCCCCATCAGTTATATAACCCAGGGTAACACGGGTCTGGAGCAGGTCGATCCTGCCCCATCAGTTATATAACCCAGGGTAACACGGGTCTGGAGCAGGTCAATCCTGCCCCATCAGTTATATAACCCAGGGTAACACGGGTCTGGAGCAGGTCGATCCTGCCCCATCAGTTATATAACCCCAGGGTAACACGGGTCCTGGAGCAGGTCGATCCTGCCCCATCAGTTATATAACCCAGGGTAACACGGGTCTGGAGCAGGTCGATCCTGCCCCATCAGTTATATAACCCAGGGTAACACGGGTCTGGAGCAGGTCGATCCTGCCCCATCAGTTATATAACCCAGGGTAACACGGGTCTGGAGCAGGTCGATCCTGCCTCTCACAACTACTGGATCACTATGACAAGTCTCAAGTGCACTGGAGGACAAAGAAAATGCAGATCTAGTATCCACAGACCTGCCAAAGTCTTCGACAAGTGTGATGATGGTGTAATAGCGCACAAAATGTGTGATAAAGGAATTACAGGAAAAGCTGGTAGATGGATCTATAGCTTACCTGGAGGTTATTCCGGGGATCAACGCCCCCGAGGCCCGGTCCACGACCAGGCCTCCCGGTGGATCAGGGCCTGATCAACCAGGCTGTTACTGCTGGCCGCACGCAGTCCAACGTACGAACCACAGCCCGGCTAATCCGGCATTGACTTTAGGTCTCTGTCCAGCTCTCTCTTGAAGGCAGCCAGGGGTTTATTGGTAATTCCCGTTATGCTTGGTGGGAGGCTGTTGAACAGTCTTGGGCCCCGGACACTTATGGTGTTTTCCCTCTTAGATACCAATGGCGCCCCTACTTTTTTTTTGGGGGTTTTTTGCTTCGCCTCCCCCGGGTCTATTTTTTCGCAGTGGTGATTTCTGTGTGCAAAATTCGGGACCATTCCTTCCAGGTTTTTCCAAGTGTAGTCTTTATGTTATCTCTCTCTCTCCTGCTTTCCCAAAACAAGTCCAGGATTCGAAGCTTTCCCAGTTTTAAAAACGTGTTTTGGAAAAAATTTATGTCCCAGTAAAGGTTCTCTTACCTCTCTAGATCTGCATTTTCACCCCCAAAACAAAAAGAAACCGAAGAATAATTAGAAAATAAGGGAAAAGGGTCTGAGGCGGCCACAGTAAAAAGGCTTGCCCAAAAGGAAACAGAAATGTCCTCTTTGTTCTTTATCTAGTATCTGACATAGGCAAAAGATTTTTGCCACAGAAACCGTGTCTTTCCTTTGGGGAGACACCTGAATCGCATGTTTGGTGTCGTTCATCGGAAAACCTGAAAAACCTCCAGGGGGGGCTTAAACCCAAAATTTTTCAATGGGGTCGGGGAAAAACAACATAAAGTTCAATAAAAAAAGAAATTTTTAAATTCTAACTTTCAAAGATCACAAAAAATTGTTCAAACCAGTCTAAAAAATTATAGGAAGGATTATGAAAAACCCTTTCAAAACTGGGGTGTAAGCCCTTGATGATTCTCTTAAAAATTTCGTTGTTTCTCTAGGCTGGAAAAATTGGCGTACACTCTTTGCTCCTTTCAAGGGGGGAAAAAATTGCCAGGGAATGTACAAAACTTTCACAAAAATTTTTAATTACGATGAAGCTCCTAAATTACTTGGAAGGGTTTGAAGTCCTTGTTTTTGTATTCCTTGGAACGCAGGCGGGGAAAGAAAACATGATACTTTAAAAATTTGGGGAAAACCCTTTGAGAGACTAGTCCAAATTTGCCACGAAAATCACTCCCTACAAAAGAAAAAGACCGACAGGGAGAATGAAAAACTTTCCCCCAAAAAAAAGCAGGGAAGGGGGGGGGGAAACGTGTCCCCACAAGGGCCCCCAACACAAGGGTAAGGGGCAATTTTTGTGAACGATCCCAAAAAGCCCGAAAAATTAAAAAGTTGTTTTGGGGGGGAACCAATGGACCCCCCCAAAAGGGGGTCCTTCAAGGAAAAGGCCCCCTTAGGGAAGGGTGGGGGGCACAAAATTTAAGTCCCGACAGCCCCCCGGCCTTGGGGTT